TTCCAACACCTTTCTTTAGTGTGTCTTGGCTTCTTCCAGTACTCAGAAATAACATCCTCGACCTTCTCTGCAATGGGATGTTTGCTAGTATTCTGCTTGGGTCGTGATGACATAAAGGCAGAATGATCACTCACAGAGGATTTCATCATGGCGGTTCTTCGACTTTCTTCCCCTTGTACAAGAAAGTAAGCAATAGCAAGAGAGCAACGTCTGCACTAAGAATGTGTTGCCTGGTGAAATCAAACTCTACGTTTAAGCCTGCCAAAAATCAAAGACTCTATTCTCCTCTATTTACTTTCGATACTGCTCACCATCTTCAGGGTCCTTCCAAACTAGAGATTTCAAGTGATCAATTTCTTCCCAGATAGTCTGTAGAGAAGAGAAATACATAGCAACAGATCTTTCCCCTTGACGCATACTGCAAGCTTCCCTCCGAAGCTGATACACTCTAGCAGTATTGTTAACTTGGGAATAAGTAGCAACCACCCTACCCCAGATATCCTTGGCAGATGGAAGAAACATGTAATTTCGGGCAATATGAAGTTGCATTGAGCAAATCAGCCATGACATAACAAGGGAGTTGTCCTGTTCCCACCTTGCGAATTTCGGGTCTTCAGGACTCGACTTCACTTCCCTTCTTGTGATGAATCCCAGTTTACCCCTCCTAGTAATGGTAAGTTTAGCAGATTGAGACCACTCTAAAAAATTAGTTCCATCCAGTTTAACAGTAGTTATCATACCACTGGAAATATTTGCAGTCCTCGGGAGCATGTTGGGAACCATCTGAAAATCCTTAGATGATTCCATATTCTAACAAGACACCTTTTCACCAACCAAAAAGGACCCCCAACATTTTAACCAAGGTTCTAGACCCAAAAACCAGGTTACCACAGGGTTAAGAACTAAAGGAAGCCTGAAAAAACTAGGTTGGCAACAAAATAGAAGGAGAAAAAAATCTCCCAAAAATCACACAGTGCTCAGAAAAATACGGGACCACTTCCCGTCAATCCCAAATTGAAAAACGACTTGAATGGTCTAGGTTTTACAACAGAAAAATATCATTAAATCTGTTGTACATGGCTCGACATCAGATCTGGAATTTTTGCAATTTTTTCCTTAAAAAATCCACCAAAAATCATAGAAGCTTCATATGATGACAAGAGTCATACCAATTTTTTTCTAAAATCAAGGCGAATCAAACTGTGCTGGTTTCATAGACTGCCGTTGGCACTTGTACAGACTTCTGATGTCATCCGACGGTGGTCTGACGTCAACAATTCGCCTCTGGGTAGGAGATCAGCAGAGAACAACTCCCAAATGCTCTACCCGCTCTGATACCAAGTTGTAGAAACTAGGGTTTCAAGAGCGAGGAAGAAGAGAAGAGAAGAGAAGAAGAAGAAAGGGAAGAAGAGAGCTGTCGAGCGGTGTGTGTGTGTTTCATTGTTCACACCCTCAAAAGAATACATTATAATATGAGAAAATAATAATTACAAGAAGGCCTCTATATGGGTTCCCAAATACTGAGAGAGTATAAGAAAGGAGAAAAAAACCAAAAACACCCATGTCTAGCCATTCTCAACATACCGAATTCAAAATTAAGGATCTTGGAAATCTCCGATATTTCCTAGAGATTGAGGTCGCAAGGTCAAAGAGGGGCATTTATATTTTTCAGAGGAAATGTGTCCTTGATTTGCTTTAGGAGGTAGGAAAATTGGATTGTAAACCGGCTGAAACTCCAATTGATCCCAATCATAAGTTGGGAGTTGATGATGGAGATGTCCTTCCTGACAAAGGTGTGTATCAGAGACTTGCCTATTTGAAGGGATGTCGAGGAAAGGGGAAGTTGTATTCTAATCATGGGCATCTGAAGGTAAAAGCCTATTCCGATGCTAACTAGGTAGGTTCTATTGATGATAGGCGGTCTACTTTTGGCTATTGTACCTTGGTGGGTGGTAATGTTGTATCATGGAGAAGCAAGAAGCAATCGGTTGTGGCTCGATCTAGTGTAGAGATAGAGTACAGAGCTATGGCACATGGAGTCTCAGAATTGTTGTGGCTAAAGAACTTCTTGACAGAAATGGGAGTGCAGATTGATACTCCAATGATATTATATTACGACAATCAAGTTGCCATAAACATAGCCCACAATCCTGTACAACATGATCGTACAAAGCATATAGAGGTTGATCAACATTTCATTAGAGAGAGTTGCTAGTGGAGAGATTGTTCTACCTTATGTGAGGTCTGAAGACCAGTTTGATGATTGTCTTACTAAAGGTGTTCTCAAATCAAAGCTCGACAATAATTTGAACGAGTTGGGTATGGTAAATATCTATGCTCAGCTTGAGGGGGAGTGTTAAGAGTGTGAGGGCATTTCTGTCCTTTTATGAATATTTGTATTTGGGTGGCTATTCAAGGGCACCTTTGTAATTTTGCTTGTGAAGTAAAATGAAAAGTCTCTTGGTGTGGACAGTAAGCCACCGAGCATTCTCGACACTTCTTCTTCTTTTCTTTTCAACATCTCTAAACCTTCCAACTCTAAAAAAGGCATTATGATTTGGAAGGATGGAGTAGTTAGTCTCAAAGATTCATGAAATTGGATCCTTGACACTCGGATTGTTTTTATCAAGATTTTTTTTATTTTTTTCTTAGGATTCCTTCCAATCATCATCATCCTAGACTTATCCCAACTATATGGGGTTGGCAACAGGAATCCTGTTTCACCAATCTATTTTGTTTGATGCCATATCATTCTTAAATTATGGGCACTTAAAGTCATTATAACTACTTCGACCCATGTCCTTTTTGGTCTACCCCTAGCTCTTCTGGTTCCTTCAACTTTCAAGAGATCAATTCTTCTTGCAGGTGCTGATGGTGGTCTTTTATGCACATTACCAAACCATCTTGTTTTTCCACTTATCCATCTCAGCATTGTCATTTTTGCCACATTCACTTTTCAGACATGTTTCTTGATTGTCCATCATTCTGCTCCATACAATATATATTGCTTTACAAGTGTTATATAAAATTTTCTCTTCATTCTTAGTGGTATTTGTGTAACATAAAACTCTGGATGCACCTCTCCATTTTGCTCATCCCGCTGTAATTATATGGGCAACATCCTCCTCAATCTCTCCCTCATATTGGTCTTGTTCTTCCTGTTTACTCTTGAAAGTGCTTGAGCTTTTATAAAATTGTTTAGCTCCCTTGTCATATAATATATGCTTGTGCAGCATAACCACTGCTCAAGTTTACACAGTTTTACTCTATTTCATGCAAGGGTTGATATTTTTGAACCATTTTCATTTGGACGATTAAATCTTGTAGCTCCTTTAGTTGACAACAGTCATCCAGATATGCAGTGTTGACGGTGATGAGACATTCTTAATAAATAATATTTGAACCATCTTTCTTTGGTTTGCTCACTCATATTAACCCTATGGGGGTGAACTTCCCAGTGAGAGAAACTTGGACTAAACCGATCCCTCCAAAAGTACAAGCTTTCTGTTGGGAAGTGTTCCTAGGGAAGGTAAACACTTGTGATGTGCTACAGAAAAGGAGGCCAAACAATTGCCTCTCTCCTCATGTGTGTGCCCTTTGTTTGGGATGTGGTGAAACTCTAACCCACTTACTATTATCCTGTTCTTTTGCTTCTGGTATTTGGGATGTTGTTT